CCTGAGCAGAGAATACATGGAAGTCTACGCAGCTGTGTGGATAGACGCCTCTGAAATGTGCATCTTGGGCTCTCGGTCTCACGATCAAGCGGAAATTTAATAAATATCCATTCAGCTCCACCCCCCCCCCCCCCCCCCCCCCTTAACGCATGGCGCGTGCGCGCCGGCACACGCAACCTGTTTGTAATATTTCATGAGAACTGGCGCTTTCCTGGTTCGGTCGGTAATATAGACTATTTTCTTTGGAGACGCCACCAGGTGGTACCCCAGTCTTCGACGTCCCAGCGAGCTTCCAGTTTATGAAAGGAATGAACACAGCCCTTCCTAACACCGCTGCTTGAATCGTCGATGAAACATTTAACCACCAATTCTCTAGGCGAACGCAAAAAAAAAAAAAAAACCAAGAAGCGCAAAATCTGTTCAATTTTTTAGAATATCCTTGTAAACCAACTTGTCTCCTCCAAGACGAAAAATCCCACAGCCGAAAGCCCTCGCTAAATCTCAAGCCTTTTTGCCCGTTTAGCATCGATGCATTCAAGCACTGGTATCATAAGTAATTAAATAGGCTTGGAAAAAGCGGAGCGACCGGAAGTCGCTTGGGACTCAAGTAGCGGTTCATGTTTGCGAATAGTAAAATATCCATTCAATCAAAGCCTTGTTTTTCCAACCCCTATTGAGGGACAGGACCCGCTTGCTGGTCACACCACGGATCTGGATGTCCGCATCCCAGCCTGGTTTAGTGCTGAGATGAGAAAAAGTTATGTGAAAACCTTAGCGCATTCTATTTTGAGGACAGAAGAGATGGTGCGACCGACTCCGAGCTTCGGTGAACACGTTCTGTTTCCTTTCAGCTCCCTTGGTTACGCTCGCACTGGCAATGTCGGTGTCATCGTAAGCGCGGCTGGTTCAAAATACTGCTATAAAACTACTTCCAGCACCCCCCCCCCCCCCCTTCCATAGTGCCGGTACCTACAGGTGGTTTGAATCCTTCCCAAAGTTACCCATGGCACCTCAATTTCCCCTTACTCCGAGGCTGTACTAGAACTGTGCTTGGAACGCGCCTTTCACTGGTGTGTTGAGCGTCCTATCCTGCACATACATTAAAAAAAAAGGTCCAGAAGTGGCAACAAATGACATCATGAAAGCCGGTATGTTATGTCTGATGTCGCGATCCTGGAGATTGGTGCCATACTCCATGTCAGTAGTTGCGTGCTGTGCAGGCGAAGGCAACGCCAGCCGAGGGGAGAAAGGGCAAGCACTAGAAAGGCTAATGCAGAAGAAAGAAACCTCCTCTCCTCTAACGTTTCCTAGTGCTCTCCCTTTCCCTCCTCGCTCTCCAGTGCCCTCCTCTCCCGTTCCGCCTTCCTAGTGCTGGCCCTTCCTATCTTAGCCAGGTGTTGCATTCGCCTGCACTGCACACAACTAGTGACGCGGAGTGTGAAAAGTACGAGCAACCGCCAGTGTCGCTGTCGTCGCAGCGTCCCACTTCCTAGCAAATGGCTGCTGATACTTTTCCGGACTGCCAGGCTGGAGAGCGACCTACAGGAGAAGATGCGTCTACCACGTCCACCGCCGCTATATACTGTGACTCTGACAGTCAGCGAAGATCGCAGTCGTGAATCACACGACATGTCTATGACGTCGTCATGCTGAAACCTAGGTGCCAGTTTTTAGACGCGGTAAGCACACCAGTCGGAGACGCGTCTTTTGCACCAATAGATACTTGCAGCATCTCACATATATTCCCAAAAAAGGTTTTTTCTTGTTTTTTTTTTTTTTTACACTCGAAAATAATATGTGCCGACACCTGTATCGCTGAATTCATATGCGGCTTTTATTTTTTTTTTTTTACGCAGGTAATGATATATTCTCGTGCATGATTTGTTAAAAACTCTACCCACCATATAAGTTAAGAATGACGACGCTTCAGCCGTCTTGGTGCTGACAATTATTATTGACAGTTATCTGAAGACTTATACGAAAAGGTAGAAAACACTTTTTAGTCCCACAGATATGTTAGCACAGTCGGTAACAGAGCAAGACGATATCGCAAGTGCTTCCTGACGCCGTGTTTAAAGCTCAGGAATTGGCATAATGGAATGTACCTTTTCCACATACCGACGGCACCAGGCGGTGGCTGCACGAACTAAAAATCGAGGAAGTGACCTACCTGCGCTACCAATTGATAGTGGGAGCTACGCTACCAGTTTCTTCGCTCACTGAGCTGCAGCGCGTGCCAAGGGGACTTTGAAGAGGGCATCCGTGGCGTCCACCTAAACCTCGTGTTTTTCTTTCTGTGCGATTTCTTTTTTTGTGTAACAGAATTATATATAGGCTGCAATTAAGTTTTCGACCCCCTGATCCACAACCTCCTTCCGAATTTCGTCGATATTTAGTGCCGACTTCCGCCGCTTGGCATCGGGCGCTCGCGCGTGCGCAGAACGCTTCTTGGAAAAGGTCCATTGTAACAATCTCCAGTGGCGCTCACTCTGCACTAAGCACGAAACTGACAGCGCCCACAAGAAAAGTCGCGCAGGGCCGATACTCTCTATTCCGTCTCACTAAAACCGTGCAGTGCAGCCAAAGCTACACGGGTTGAGAGCGTATCCCAACCAGTTCAAGATCAGGGAAAGGAGGAACAGGAGAGAAGGGTAGGCCATCCCAGCCTCTCTCTCCTGTTTCTCCTGTACCGCCTCTTGATCAACGAACACCTTACCTGGTTTAGAAGCTTAAATGCTAATTATGCTCTACGGTGTTCGAGGTATTGGTGGATTGTTAAAATATTTATAAAATAAAGAGGAAAGTTAAATCTGATGCTTCCACGCCATCAATGCTCAAAGAGTTGAATCCTGAGTTATCTTTATAAGTTTTAGTGATGTTCTGTACATTAATCCGTAAATATAAAAGTACAAAGTGCGCGCATGAATAAAAAAAAAACATAAAGCAATCGAAGGTTACAAAAAGGTGCTGTTGCTCACAAAAGATTGGTACCTTTCTGTAGCTCTTGTTTGTGTTTTGGCGTGTTAATACCACGTTGGGTGATTAACTGAATGCCATAAAATGGTAGATTCGAATAAGGTTTATGCGGGCGAACGTAATTTGAGTCATTCTCAAAGTTTGCTGAGCTAAGTTGAAAAATAATGCAGATTGATTTTTATCAGTTTTGATTTTTTTATATTTACAAGTGAGTAAACAAGAAAGGTTTCCTAAACTATGATTAGCCTGCTTGCATAGTATTGTCATGATTGCGTAAAATAAATATAGATACAATCCGTATACGGAAAACAATTTGTGATGTAAGTAGGCCTCCAGATCGTTGCTAAATATTGCCACGCGCGTCGGCGGGAAGCTTGCTCGCGATTTGCTGATAAGTATTTTCCCAACGCCGCTGTATCATGCAGAGTGTCGTTTGCCAAGGCGGTGAAGATGTGTTAAAGCCCGTTAAGCGTATGTGTGTTCCACCCTCGGTGAAGACATTATTTTTCAAACTACGCACCAATACTTTGCCCGTGAAAGCGTGGCTTAAAGAAAGAGGCGTAGATGTGCCATGGTCGACTGACTGTCTTCTATGCAAACAACCAGAAAGCATCGAACCTTTGTTCATTTTTTGCTGGGACGCAGATTTTTTTTTTTTTTTTGCTTTTTTTTTTTTGGTGGGGGGGGAGGGGGAGATGCTTCAGCGCAGTTTCAAAAAGCAATTGAGCATTTCCCCTTCAGGTATCCGTATCTTGAACGTGACTAACGATGACTGTGTCCCACAACTTATGTTTTTTTGTTGTTGTTGGGACTTTGTAGCATATAGCGATCGCGCATGGTAGTCAGGCATGCCGACGTCAATGCGAAAGAAGTGCGTTTTTATTTCTTCGGCCTGATTGAGCAAGGGGAATGTGTTTTTCCACCCGCGAGTTCAAGCCCGAGTGGCTCGGCATCTGTAAAGTGCTTCGTGAAATGCGCACCTTTTAATATGCCCTGTAAAAGTCTTGCAGTGCACGTTTAATGTTAAGTGACTTGTGATACTCACCTTTGCAATAGAGAAAAAAAAATCGTGCGTGACCGAGTGGTTACCTCGCTTGACTGTCGCGCGGAAGGTGTACATATATATATTGTTATAGGTTCGATTCCCAGTCAGTGGACTTTCCTTTTATTCATTCTTTCAACTTGGACTTCTGGTAAATTCGAGAACATTCTCTTCTGATTAAGTTCCGAATGTTCTACGCACCGAAAGTTCTACACTGAATGATCCAGAAACCTACGAGGGTGCATAAGCGACTCCGTAAGGCGAGCGGAGTCAGTCTCGACCCACCGCTCGATAGCGCTGTTACGCCGACTTCGACGCTCGCGACACTCTGCTATTATCTTCTATTCCCTTCTTGTTTTAGGCACAAGTTCGCCCCATTCAGCGTGTATTTATTCTTGTTTATTTATTGTACTTTTGGTCACTACCCATGACAATATTAACATGCAAAACAAACGTCAAGAAATTTGGATGGTAACAGTTTCAGTTTTGGGTATTATGCCTAACAACCTAATAAATTACAATGCGTTTCTTATTCTTTATTGAAAAAATGTCCACGCGCCCCGGGTGCATTTTTCTTTTATGATATGTCCTGGTTAAGCAAAAAAGCTCTTTAGATGAGCCTCCGAAAGTTTCCTTAAAAACTTCGTTTTCGCTTTATTTTATTCAACCTTAATTAAATCTACGTTGGTTCATAAATAAATTTTAGGTAAGTTGAAATTCTTTTGCATGAATTTGTTCTTCTTTCCTCGCTTTATAATAAAAAAAAATATATTCGACAAGTCTCAGGAATTCGAGAGGTTGCGATATTTCGAGGACGCGAACATTAATACGGAATGCAATGAGCTAAAGTTTAGTTGTTTTTTTTCAGTTTTACCAGGGAACGGAGTTGCGAAATGTAACCATCTGTTCATATAAATGAACTCCTCATGGTAGGCGAGAAGAGAAAAATCTCATCGTGAAAGCGTCCCAAGCCAGCCAAAAGATGAAGTTTCTTGCACATCCACTTCAGATGTTCACCGCCCTCGTGGGGCTGCATTTGGCGGTTAAAAATCGTTTCATAGACGAATACTGGCAGCGGTCTGTACAGCTCGGAAGCTTTGAAAATGCTTGGGAGGTGAGTACTTTCTTCTAGAGATGATGTTTTTCTCGTTAACGCGATATAATGACCGCCTGCCTGCAGAAGGGGTTCTGCCGCACGTACGTAATATCCCCTATATGAATCATACTAAGCGCGATAACCTTCAAGAAAAGGAACATAATAAAGCGGGCATAAACCCGAGCAGGTGTGTGACGAAGATCAGGCGATATAAAATAGACTATAATTCCTTTCTACGGTACTTACCTTGCCAGCTTTTATCTCATGCGTGTTTTTGCAAGAAATAATTTTTTTTTAAAGTATGCAACAAAAATAACTAATACTTTTTGTGATGTACCGGTTAATTTGGGATAATGCGAGAATGAATTTATTTTATTTGTTTTGGATACAATCGGTTGGTGTTGCGAGAAGCGTCTTGTCGGGTCTGCGACCGCGCCCAGTCTGTTGCTTTCAGGCGTCCCGTGCTTCTCCGTGGCTCGACCCCCGACTCTCCTCTCCCGGTGTCTCCGGTTGCATCGGCCATTAGGGAATTGTAGTAGACCGTTTCCGCAAACCGCTAAGCACCCGGATAGCGCTCCGTAATCCACCATAAGACCTTGAACTATGCAGAGAAGGCCGGCGGCGCGCATGCGCAGCTGCGGCGTTTTCTTCGGGGATATTGTAGCGGAGGAGAAAAACGATCTACTACAACTCCCTACTGTTTGTGCCCCATAGGCCGTGTTCGCTATACACGGCGAAAGCGCACGTAATGCACGGCCATACACGTTGGTCCAGCCTAGCTTACGCAGCTGGAGCCTTCGCAATAGACCGATGTCACCAGGAGTTGAGCGACGCCATCGCTGCCGCAGTGCATTCTGGTACCTGTAGTTCTCCCCGGTTTTCCGGCCTCGTCAATGCGTATTGTCGCCCGGCGTTTAGAAATTTTCAGGTTGCCACTAGATTTTTCGCCGGGTGTTTACTCTGATTTTTGATGGGTGGTTTCACTTGTTGTATGCCACTGAGCTATAATAACAGATATGTCTTCCCGAAAGAAAGAAGCGTGGCAAAGAAAGGTAAACAGAGCCGGACAGAGCGGGAGAAAAAATAGCGTTTTATGCTTTGTTTCGCGATTTGCTTCATAATTTATATCCGCCCTATTGCACGTCAACTAAAGTGTGTATGATTACAGGGCACAACACATAGAGCGTGTCGAAGTATTCCGTACGCTGAAGTATCTCTGAGTATTCGCTCCGTAGCGGTCTATCCGCTGGTCTATCTCAAGTAAAACTTCTGCACTGCTTTGCGGAGGCCGTTCTTAATACAGTCTTACTCGATGTATTTTTGTGGTTATAACTGTTATTGCAACGACATGTCTCAAGCACAACTGTGCTTCGAAAGATAAGGACCGCCACCAAAAAAAGAGCAGCGATTCCCGATATGCATCACTTGAAATAAAGCTACTTCTTCCGGAAGCAGTCTTCTTTTTTTTTCATTCAAACTTGAAATCACCACCTAATTTTATTTAGAAGTGCAGCACTTACCGCCAAAAATGTAACAAACAAACCTCATTCATTTTGTGGTGGTCTCTTAGGCTGACGATACTGATCCATTTTGCATTAACACCAATCGAGTCCGCAAAACAAGCTTCCCCCGTCGGGCGACTGTTAGCTATCGGAGATTGCGCAAACAAAATAAAACTGAATAGAAACTGTACACGAAAATTCCTCTCCACACCAAGCTGTCAGGTATCTGGCATGGTTGCCTCTTTTTGACAGATGCCGATTGTTCTGGCGCGTCAGGCAGGGCCTTTCTGTAGATAATTTCTTCTTTGTGTGCAGGTTTCTCCCGCAGTTCATCTGTACCCTGTCCTACAGGCTGTCAATTAGAATGAGACAACTTTTAGAAAACTATCGCTCACAGAAAAAGTCTATTAGCTCCTCTTACTTCATTTTTGATTAAACGTTACGCACTAGACTGAGCACTACCAAGCTCAGTTTTTCATCAAAACATTTGATGCTGTTCCATGGTGCTACACCAAGCCGATGGTCCCTCGAATTTTCTTGTTCTTTGCCATTGCACTAGATGTTCACTTGTTTCCAAGTTAATTCAGACGTCCGAGCAGCCGGAATGCTCGAGTGGTGGCGTCTTTGTTTTTCTCCCATGGCGCAGTGGGACCTCCGCGTGAACGGTAGTGGGCTCACGCGTTCACGAAGGGAAAGAAGCAGACGAAGACGAAGCAGTGGACAAAGCGATTCTAAAGCGATAAGGTGACTGGAACTGCTCTTCTGCGCTTGCTGACAAACTAAGGCATCACAAACAAGACGATCTGATGAAGTACAGAGATGCAGGAGAGTCAGGCTGACACCGCGGCGTCCCAAACGATAATCTACAATGATGTACGCGCAGCTCTATGTAGGCAGAAAGCCAGAAAAGGGATGACTACAAGTAGCATGGCGGCGGCATCACTTCCGGAATGCGCGCGCCTGCGCAGTTCGCTTGGTGACATCGGTGTATTGAAATGTGCTCAAAGAGCAGAAAGAGAGGAGGAGGAAGAAGAGAGGAGAGTAAAAAAAAATAGGCGCGCCACGGTAGAAGGGAAAGAGAGAGAGTTTGCAGGAGTACTTCGCATGCATCACGCCAGCCCTTAGAGGCGCAAGTAGTCGGAAGGCAGAGGGTGGATGAATAAATATGGGTTGCCCCATTACCGGGGTCTGAAACGATTTTTTAACTTCTTGCTTTTTAGCCTTCCTCCTCAACTCAAAACTAGCGCATTGTACCAAACAGTTCAATATGAAGTTTTCGTAGATCGCGTTTCCCCCTCCGCTAAGTCCTCCGCAACGAAGAAGTCGCTACTGCGCCTGCGCGCCGATAGCCTTGGCTGTAGAGTTCCCGGTATCGTAGCGGGTAGCGGAGAGCGTTGCGGGACGGTGAAAACGATCCACGAAAACTCCCTATTAAGACGTAAAGGAGGGACTCCCCCCATGCTCGGACCCGCGTTTGTGTAACCGGACCCCCCCCCCCCCCCCCTCCACGACCATTCTCCTCCTAGAAGATAAGCCCGTCGCTCATAACTGGAACAAAAGTTGCTGTCCCCACCCCGTTCACCCCTAGCCTGACAGTGCTGTGGGTACTACGTGCTCGTTGGACCAGCCTCACTTTTGCCACGTGATCACGCTCCCTCACGCAGAGAATGTGGTGGTGATGAAATGGAGGCGGCTGATTGGTCCGGCAAGTGCGTAGCTTCCACCGCACTGTCAGCTTAGAAGTGAAGGGAATAAGTGAGGTTCGGTGTCGTGTGACGTGCGTTTGGGCCCGGGACGCGCTTTGGGTACCGCGGATGTATCAAAGTGAAAAGGTGGAGAACTTACGAAGGGAAGGAGGTACAAAATAGTCCGCAGTGTTTTCAAATTTTCGTACCGAAAATCAGAGGCCAGATTCACGAGACAAACTTACGAACAAAAAAGTACTTACGACAAAACCTGGGAACAAATCCTTATTTACAAAACGAAATGTTAGTAACTTTTGCGTAGTTTACGAAGGAATCCCACGACAGCCTCCGAGCTGTCTCACGAACGTTTCTTCCAACATGGCCGCGTATGTCGGTTGGCTGCTTCGCCTCGACGGACAAAGGACTTGGAGGCGCGAGCGGTTGTTCCGCCCTCGGATCACGGTGAACGACGTGCCGGAGCACATTTTAGAACTATACTACCGCCTGCCGAAAGAGGTGGTGCTTCGGCTGTGTGATGTGGTCGTCTCAGCACTTCGCCGGCTGACAAAGCGGAGTTGCGTGCTGCCGGTCGACGTGCAGGTGCTGGTGGCGTTACGCTTTTCCGCAAGCGGGAGCTTTCAATCCGTGATAGGCGAGGTGGGCCACCTGAGCCAGGCGAGTACCTCACGAATCGTCAACAACTTGGGCCAGGCCCTTGTCCTGATAGCCGGGGAGGCGATTTGCTTTCCGACGACACAGCGAGCAGCGTCCCTCACTTCGATCGGTGAGTACACTACGGCGTTAGCGAAGGCGTCATTCCGCCGGAGCAAACGTAACCGATTGCGGGCATATCAGTCGTTGTTCTACAAACGCGCTAAATATAATAGCACGACGGGAGCGCGTATGCCTGTAACAATATTGTTTTGTAAGTCCGAATAAACGGGGCAAGTAGGGGGACAAAAGAGGAAGAAGAGGACACAGCGCCCAGGGGATCTCAAAACGTTCTACACGTAGTGTTGCTTGTTACCCGGTACGACCGGTACAATCAGGTAAATACTACCACATGGTGTCAGAAGTGCTCCGGAAATGGAAGCCTCATCGAACAAGGAGAACGTAACGGCCCCAACAACACTGCTAGCAACGGGTTTCACGGCGCCCGCAGCCTTTGATTTCAAGCGCCCAGAAGAATGGCCAAGGTGGATCACCCGTTTTAACAGGTACCGTAGAGTTTCGAAACTCGATAAAGAAGACGAAGGATCGCAAGTAGACGCATTAATCTACTTTCTCGGTGAGGACGCGGAAGACATTTTGTCCGCCTCGGCTTTGACCGACACCGAACAGCGACAGTTCGAAGCAGTTGCCCAACTCTTCGAAAGCCACTTCGTCGGCAAGAGAAACGTTATCTACGAATGGGCCAAATTCCACCAGAAGAAACAAGAGCCGGGTGAATCGGTTGAGAGCTTCATGACTAGCCTGCATCGCCTAGCAACACATTGCGGTTACGGCGCGTTGAAAGAAGAACTCGTCCGCGATCGTTTTGTCGTTGGATTGCAAGATTCTTCGCTCTCAGAACAACTTCAAAGCGACCCAAATCTGACACTGGAAGCTGCGTACACTCGAGCTCGACAGAAAGAAGCCGTGCGTCGACAGCAAGCCGTTGTCAGAGGCGAGTCCCAAGCAGAAGACATGACGCTAGATGCCCTCCACAAAAGAATGTCAGCAAAAGAGAAAGGCGCAAAGCGGCGAGAATACACGCCGAAAAACACTGAAAATAATGCGGCTAGAACACAGACGTGTAGAAGATGTGGCAACAGTGCACACGAAAAGTCCA